CAGCGAGTAAGTCAAATAAGCATTGACTTACTCACGTTATTAGGCTCAAAATAGTGCTAATTTGGTTTTAATTTCTAAATCTGTCGCGGGTGTGCACCCTGCGTAGCCGACAGCTACCCGGTGTATGGCGCGCTCAACCCAAACTCCGCAGACCCCTTCAGCGCCCCAGTAGCCCCATCGAGACCCACGACGCCTTCACCTGCGCACCCTCCACCGCAGTGGAACCGCCGCGCAGGCCTATCCCCCCGGGGACCATGGGATCCTAAGCGTCGCACCGTGCACCAAATGACTCATCCCTACATAAGCCACCGCTGGCTTCCGCCGTAATTATACATGACAAGCACAGCAACCCCATAGTACCACAACAAGCATATTGAGGCAAAGAACCATACACACAATAATAAACACAAGATAGTTTACATATTTATTATGACGGCTAACTCACCACAGCGTCGACTCCCCTGGGTCGCCTTCTCGTGGGTTCCGTTCCGCGTTGTCTACGTATTATGCCCCCGTCCTTGCTCGGAGTACAATCCTCGGGGGCTCCATACGGCCGACAGCGTCCTAGCAAGGGTCACCAACCGGGCTGCTCCCAGACACGCGGGAAGCAGGGGAGGGACGCTGGCCGGCTAGCGACGGGCGCTCCGTCACCCTGAGGCTCGGAGGGAGACGTTCCCCCCTCGCCCCTGGAGCAACCTCCTCGCGTTACCCTGTGAAGACAGACCAGTCACCGGCTGCCAGTCACAGACGCAGAGGACGACTACTGGCCCTTCGACCGTAGGGGGCGTGCCAACGGCGCAATGCGCGTGTTACCTCCCGAGTCGCGGGATGGCCGGGGGCGCGGTGCGCCCGGCGACAACAGTCGCCATGCCGCGACACCCAATCAATGTTCTCTGACTTTTATAGGAGCGAGAGTGGTTCCTGTCCAAGGAATTGTTGTAGTGCACCTACGAGTGCATAGTAATAAATAAATAAATAAAATAATAGCAATTGCAGTTGTGAGTGTGGCAGTAAATTCCGCCGACTCATCTATCTGAAGAAACATCAGCGATTGTGCATTGCTCGAAACGGTGGGGACGCCGCTTTCGATAATGCAGAAGCTCTCGATGACAGCAGTGAAGCAGTTGACGACTCTGACGATCATGACCTGTGATTCTCTATTATGATTAACCGATTTTCGATATTATGTGATCTCGCGTATTCTTTTCCCGTGCATCGATTTCTGTGGGTTCGACCAAAGTGTTCACCTTTCCTTTGTGTTTTGTTGATTTGTCTCTGTGCAATGTTGTTTTCTATCGTGCCTGTGTCACCTATGCTGCGTTTATACTCGGCTGCCGGGTGTTGGCTGTCCACTGAAACCAAGAAAGTAGCGTATGCAGCGATTAGAGCGAGCGCATCAACAGTAGAGCATATTCACACAGAGCGCTCACGCTCTTGGGTCGATGTCAGACTTTGCAAATTGAGCGATTCGCTAGCGTCGCGTCGCGGCCAGTGAATCGCTCGATTGGCTGGTACCGCAACGCGACCGCGACGCTAGCGAATCGCTCGATTCGCAAAGTCTGACATCGCCCTTACGATGCTATACAATTCTTAATTTCAATAGCCAACCTTTTCCCTTGCCTGTATGAATTTCGCGCAAGCAGCGCTCCGAGCGCGGCAGCAGCGCCGAGTATAAAAGTAGCCTCACCCAAAATTACATATTCGACACCTTAGAAGGTGTTCGAAATTTACGTGATCGAATCGTTAGTGAGAACTATCTGTGATGAAGTATTAGTGTGTAAAAGTCACTCACGGTGTTCTAGAGATATCATTCGTTGTTCTGCCATTTTCCCCCCAGATCTATCTGTACTTTTATGAAAAGTCTTTATCCATAGATCTTTCCTATCAAGTCAATATCGGTGATTCCAATCTGTGTAGGCCTTGACTGTTCACATGTGGTCCTTCCTTTCTGTTTTTGTGTTGTTGAAGATCGTTTTAGAAAAGTTTATGAATTGAACCTAATGTGACTAGAACAGCAATGATGAAGTGCTTTCTGTCAACTTTACTAAACTTCGCACCACAATCGAAAAGTGACGATGGTGCTGTGGCTAGAAGCGCAGTACTGCAAGAGTATAGTCTTTTGGAAGGACCCCGTTCGAGCCACCACTCCATTCCCTTCTCGCATGTATCAGTGAAAGCTTACGCCTCTGAATTCGAAGGTTTCACCAATGAGCTTCGCAATTGAAGGCGGATTTGGCAATGGAAAGGCAACCCATTGGAAATCAAGCTAGAGATGGTCAGCGATGCACGAAAGAAGAAAAACATGAGAAAATGGCCTAGAACCCGAGAAATGGGACCCTTCCTTGCCCGTTGATTTGCGCATTGATGCGACTCTCATCGGTGCTGCCCTCTTCAACGCTAACGCTCTCTCTGCTGAACGGCTAGAGACTCAGACACGAGACGACGCGAGAGGGGGGCGCATCGGCCAACCGCGCGGGAAGGCCATGCTAGATCGCCGGAGCATATCCTTCGATGCGAATTGCGTGTCGGTCCGCACCCTTAGGAGGTCCGCCTGTCTCTCCACTAGGTAAGTTTCCCCTTCTTCGACCTTACATCGTGGGACGCTAGGATATAACTTGGATCAGTGGTTATTTGTGTTAACAGTGATCAGTGTGTTATTCTATTGCCGGTGCAGCCCTCAGAACTGTACAGCACGCAAAATAACACGATGGCAAATTATCAATTAACCGGCATCTTCACGATTAAGAGGAGTCCGGCCAGACGAGGTGGAGGAAAATAGCTCTTCCCGAAAGGGGTCATGACCTCCAATAAAATTGAAGAAATGTGTAAGTGCTTTTGAAAATGATTTACCCATAGATTTCTCTAAGCGGTAACAATTTGAAGGCCAATGTTCAGGCGACAGCAGCAGCCGCAAGGCGAAAGTCCTGTAGGTATAACTAAGTCCATCAGCCAGCCAGTAAATCCTTTATAATTCAATTGAGCGAAAGTTGCTTTCCACAGAAACTCGGCTGGACGAACTGACTGGAATAAGTAAGCGCGCTTCGTGTGACGTGAAGCATTTCCTCGACGATCTTTAACAGAAGGAGGCGACAGCTCGCGTCATCCGGCAGACCCTGTCGGGAGTGACAGTGCCTTCGATACTTTTGTTCTTAGCAGATTGGCATGACTCGCAAAAAAATATCTGGATTCATCAGGGATTTAAAACGCTCGGAATTCAAATCACGTTATACCAGTGTATCAAGTGTTATGGTGGCGAGTGGTTACAAGCGGAGTTTTCCCATTCAGTTCATCGTCGGCGTTCATGGAAGTAAGCAAGCCTTTTGCGGTCTGTGGCGCGCGTATGCTGAACGTTTGGGTCCCCGAGGTCGACGTACTACTTCCAACTCGGTCTCAAAACTCGCTCACTTGAATGTGGTACCGTCAACGATCGGGCTAAGGGCTTCAGAGAGGACGGACCTGCAAAGTCCATCCTCCTCAACTGAGGCTTGTCTCATGGGCAAACCACCCTTGAGGAGTATGCTGGCTGCCGACCACTGTGCCGTGATTATCACTTCGCCTAGTAGCAGCCGATTCAACACAGTCGTCCCTCGGGGAGCCAGCCCCACCAAGTTCAGATTACGGCAGGCAAACAGGAAACACGAAAAGCGTCGAGTTGGCTTACCTTGGACTCCCATGGCTCAGATAGAAATTGCGCGAGTGGTTCCTCTGCTGCTACCGTAGCGCTCAGGGCAAGGGTATCCTTCTCCAGCAGTGAATGAGGTGTAACCTTATGATGGATACCCGCTATCAAGCCGTTATCATTTGTTTTATGGCACTATTAATCCGGACCTATGCCATTATTTGGCATTATAGGATCAGTCAGTGCATGACGCTCACTAAGCGCGAAAAAGGGATGAAGGGAGTCTCGCGGCACTGGTCACGTTCTTGAGAAGGGCTTACTTTGTGCCGAGTGGTCTATTGGTCTAACGGTAGGCCTGCCTAATAACCAAGTAGGGAAGCGGAAGTAGAGTTGGGGGGCAGGCTCATGGGTCATTGGGGGGGGAGAGGGGATGCAAGTTCAGTGAAAGTAAAGAGGACCGTATGTGCTTGTTTAGTGTGAAGGGACCAGAATGGAAGGGAAGATTCAAGGGGAGAAGGAAGTGATTGCGCAGATTTTTTGTGTTCTCGGATCGGCGTTATCGCCACATTCTCACGGAGCTTATCAGACGCTATGAGAAATCATATACACCATTAGCCTTGTTCGAAATGGATCCCGAAGATGCGAGGAGAGACATAGCGCCGAGTAGTGTAGCTGGAGTAGGAGTAACCAATTGTCGGCTAATGAGTAACAATTCGCCGTCGAATTTAGAAGTAGTGCTAACAGAAGCTTTGAGAATTTACTTATTCGTTTTTCGGTTTCATGTCGGAAAGAAAAGTTTTTGCGGATCTCAGGGGAAAACAGTGGAGAAAACTACTACGAATCTACCTACAAGTGACATTGCAGAAGAGGACAATCGAGGTAATGTGGCGTTACACGATCGTGGGATAGAACAAGTCCGAAGATTGGCATTATCAGCTCGGGTCATAGATTATTAGAGAAGATAGCTGTGTTGGTGTTAAAACTGGGACTAGTCCTGTCGTGAAATCTTGTTTGCTGGAGACAAGGCAGGATTCTGGTTCACAAAATCAATAGGAATGTTTTCGAAAGGGCTGCTCAAAAGAAAGATTATGCTCAGCAGACTGTGGAATCAAGCGGAGGAGAAGAAGTAAGTTTGCCTTTAAGGAAGCGCTTCTCATGCGAAAAGCTCATCCTGCGTCAATAAATAGATAGAAATGTTGCATTCATCGTGTCAGTCGATCCGATCGCGGTTGCCAGCCCGCATGGGTCGGTAGAATCGTCGTACATGGAAGTTTTGGTCGTCGCCTGTTGTTAGATGTGGTTGTCGGTCAATTCTAGAATTGGTCGGCTAGTCGGCCGGTGGTTGAAAGTGATACATCGAAGTGGCTGATCTTCAGAGTAGATGAAGTGCGAAAAGAAAGCTTCCTTTTTGACGCTCAGCGGAGGATCGCTCAGCGAATTTCAAAAGTGCATCATTGGGGTGAGTAGGGGGGAGGGTATAATTGTTGTGGCGAGGCTCCCGAAATTTCTCCGCATTACACTAAAAAGTTCTATTTTTCTGAATTCCCAAAAATCTGCTACTCCCACAACCCTGCAAAAACTATGAACGCCGGATAAAGGAAAGTCGGATCGCATGATCGCAGAGTACGATGGGATTTGAAAGCGCGTAAATATATCCTTCTTCTTGGAATCAGAACCTAGCTTTAGCCAAGCAAGCATACTGGAGCAATTCTCATTTCTCCGAAATTCCTGCCTCATCTAGGCCTAACCTTAGAGGACGCGCACATATCTTTCGATAGCGCCGGAAAATCTTACCGCTCGCCCATCCAGGGCGAAAGAGTTAGCGGGCAAATTAGGGCCCGGTTTACGGTTTCAGTCTGTTCCCATGATTCTTCGTCACCACTGATCTACTTGTCATGTCCACTTTCATTTCCAAGGATGACCGAGTTGAACATCAACCCTCGTATAACTTCTGCGCCGGTATTATCATGTACAGGAAGGGATGGTAAGTAGATAGTGGCTTCAAAATGAAGATGTTCACCATGAACGTCTCTCAGGTCGCGTGATAGTCCCAAATCTGGCATCCAAATTTGTTAAAAACGGCATCCCTGAACGGAGTTATAGAAGGCGTAATAGTCGATGGTGATGTACGGTGGCAGGATAATAAGAGCTATCGGTAAATAGGAATCGGATCCTTGAACTGAGGTGTGTGTGTGCGTTGTTGCTTTGTTTTGTCCGCAACACTTCTAGAGACAAAAGCAAAGCAACCAACTTGCAAAGGAACCGATCCTACGAGCTTTTACCTGCCACCCCGGACCATCACCACTGAGCTATTACGCTTCATAACTCCGTTCGGAGAGTCGTTTAGCAGATTTGGAAGGCAGATTTGGAATCAGCGTCTGGAGACGCATCAGGAGGTATACATTTCATTTCGAACGGCCACTTCGACCTACCATCCTTCCCTTGTTAAGTGTTTTTGTTATTTTCCACGAGAGAACGTAACTCGATTTTCTCAATTTCTCATATTGACGAACAAAACTAATATTTGGTACTTTCATAGAGTAATTATTCGCAATAATCTTTATCATGACTTTCTAACAATTATCCATTTCAGTTTACAGTAACCGTGATCAGATTTAAACGACGACCAACTATAAAGCCGATTCTTCCGAAAGGTTATGAGCCCGTTGAAGGTTTTCAATATGAATGGACAGTACTTTATCTGATGCGTGGGATGGCCTTAGGATTGGATGTGCGCATGATTGACAAAAAGGTAGCAAAACTTTAACTTCATCAAATTTGACCACAACCTGCAAATTCATTCGTCTGCGGACACCAAACGCGTTTTCATTGGCAATTTATGGAGACAGAAGGCCAACGGGGTGGAGTTCTGCAAGGAATGACAAAAAGTAGGAGAAATCGTCGTTTTCATAGGTTTCAGTTGTGCGGGAAATCAATAGCTGGAGCCGATAGTGAGTCGTACGCACAGATTATTTGAATTAAGGCGCCCAGCTGGCGGTAAGCGCTGAGCGAGTGATGTAAAACGCAGTGAACAAATTCACCATGATCTCGAGATACGCATGATGCTGCTACTGTCGAGACGCGAGCTTGAGCCGGCCCTCCTGATTTCCCGAGCTATGTGAATCTGAGTTCAAGTATGCAACTCTGTTTGGAACGTAATAGAGCGAGGATCTCTTCAAAAATGTTATTCTATGAATTTTCTGAGATTTCTTATACTTTATACTTTCAGATATATGTGGCGAACTTGATGCCAGATAGTATAGCTGCTATGTCATTACTCATTGGAGAGTGTATTATAGACGTGGATGGAGAACTAGTTACATCTATACCCCAGGTAATGAAACATTTTTGTTTGCATCACAACGAATTTTAGGGTTAAACCCAATATGAGTTGCAGCCGAAATTCAAAGGCACGTGGTGCGATTACATTGGAAGGGAAATACAAGCACTATACGGGATGCATGTCCCTGAGAGAGGTGGACCAGGCGCGTTTTGCCTGCAAATGGTCGCCTGTAGTGGCCCAACAGGGACTTGTCCGCCGAGTTCTCTTCGCGGCTGCCCACGCCCACCTATCGGCTACCCTCTCGCCATCGGACTCTAAGCCGTGTAGCAGAGAGGCAGTGCAGAGCGTTCACGGTGACGATGTCGACACCGATTAGAGTCATCTCAATGCGAAAATCAAGGGATAGAAGAAGGTGCCCGTTCTGCGGGTCATACCGTTTAACTTTATTTTTCCTCACTGCTGCTGCTCTTACCACCTCTGCTGTAACTCCAACCAATTTGTCATACCATCTGCCTTTAAATCATTAAAAAAAAACGTGGTATATGATCACGAATCAAAGGGTTGGGAGCTCATATTCGACCTTCGTATTGGGATAAGCCGCGTCTTTCTTTCCCATCAAAGCAGCAGAATCGTGTGCATACGTATTTATTTCTACCTTTGAGCTGCATTTATGCAATCACGCTCACATCGATGTGTTTATTCCACCAACATGCCTGGAGCTAATGAGCGGGCCCAAAGAAATGGAGAGTTTGGTTGGCCTATTCGGAAGTCGGGCCACATGTAACCTCTCAATGATGCGCCATTACATCTACTTTCACTCAAAATTCTAGTGGCATGAATGAATACGATTTTGTCGCTATGTCTAGACAATTGCTGGAAAGACCAGCCGATGTACCAACCATTATTTTTATATTCGTTTTTATTCTCCCAGACAAATCAGTTACCGGAGGGATGAAAAGCATACTTGGCCTCGGCAGAGCTCGATTGAGGATTTGATCTCCGATCCGTTGAGGGATGGGGCTTCGTAACTCGCAAGTGCACCACCTTCCATCTCATTCTACATTACAAACTCCAAATATGAGAATTTTTCCGCTAAATATCACATCGTTATAGATGACTTCTTCTATGGTAAAATCGATGGATAAAAACGGTCAGGTACGGCTCCTTGTGGAGTCACCAGGAAATGACATGCTTCGTAATATGCTTCGGCAAAAAATTGCTGTAAGTGTTATAATAGTGTTATTACATCACATGATGTTATGAAATATACTTTGTTACAAAATGAATCAGTTTTATACAACATGATTGTTCGCCCAAAGTACGGGTACTGCGAGGGCTTAACAATTTGCGAACATTCCAAGAGAACGTTGCTTTTTTTTCGCTCTTAGGACGAACTGCAATCAACTAGAACGTACGCGGGGCATTTGATTCCGAACGACCCAATTGCCCAGAAAGCTACATCCGATTCTTAATATGTGTTAATATCGCTACACGTCCCACCGTATATCTTTTTTAAGCACCCTCAACGAACGACTTACGGGATTGTTATTCATCTGAAAAATGAAGGTAGGGGTACGAGATAAGCCACCAAGTGGTGAATAAAAGGAAAAGAAACCGTCGAGAACGCTGAAAACGCCTTCCTATTTTGCACTGTGGAAGAGTCTAATGGGACACCGTGAGAGAGATAGTGGATGCGGAGGAGAGGGAAAAACTCTCGAGGCATGAGAGTACAGGAGAACGAGAGCGCGGAAACCACGAGAGCGAGAGGAGCTGCGATCCTAAGTGGTCATCCATGGTTATGACAGGGTCCTAGCGCTTCTGATGCGCACTTACATTCGCAAAAACGGCGCTTTCACGACTTTCGCGGACAGCTCTATCTACCATCCAGAGAGATTGATTCACCTGATTCTTTTCTGTGTTCTGCCCTCTAACTCGCTAAACAATTTGCCCTACTGCAGTTCTAGTTAACCATCGAACGTGGCAGGACGTTTTTATTCTCGAGATATTTAGGCAGCTGTAGGACCATCGGAGCTAAAAGACCTTCCACTTCCGCCAGAGACAAAACCGTGGTGTGAAAAAGGGATCGCTGCTCTGAAGGAAAAGGACCCAAAGCCAGTCTATCGAGAACCCAAGCCGGACAAGTGTGTTATTACAGATGTTTTTCTTTCCATCACCCTGAATGGGAAGTGCATTCTTCCTAGTAGGGGCTTCCCCAGCAGTCTGCTTGTAGCATAAGGGCATCGTTCAGTAAAGATCAACGTCGCCGACTAATCCTTAGAAGCTTCCAATGCCGGCCTTTTCGGGTTCTGGGCTTTCCGTCGGTCTCACGAAAGCTTTTTCTACGCATATTATCGAAGCGGACGAATTTCTCGGGTGCCTCGAGGAACTTACCTGAACACTACTTTTCCGATCGCGCCGGGACACATTGTAGGGCTCAGTTCTATTTGTACACAGCTATTGTTCATCTACATAGAATGGAAACAAAACCACATCGATAAGTTAGGACATTTATAACTAGATAAGTTTCTCCTTTGATGTGTGGGTCAGGGTGTCTGGGAAATATACATAAGGGAGTGGGACGGAGATGCCGACGGTGGGTGACGGAAGCCGAAACAAGACGACAACTGGTGGAGCCTGCTGGCCTTTGGCAGGATCGGCCTTTTCGGAATCCAAGAAACGAAAGCGATTTCTGAATATCCGGAGCTTCCTTCCGGTGTCTGAAGGTCCATGCCAAGCCAGAGGGGGGTGACAGGGCTCCAGAAAAGAAGGTTCGTCATCTGCTTCGTCGCTAGCGCTGATAGGAAGGTATTGGCAATCGCTACATGACGTGGGATGGGGACACAAATGGAAATGATAGATAAATAAGGATAAAGGATAAAGCATTTGCCGTTGATCAATCCCTTTTTGGGATGCGGCACGCATTCTACTTCCATTTGTACATTCGCAGTGGCGTTTGAATGCGATGTGGCCTATACAATGACTTGCGGGGGCCAGCCGATGTACAAGTCAGTGTTTTTTATCCTCCCAGACAAGTCTGGTACCAATTAACCGACCCCGGAGGGATGGAAGGCTTGGTTGGCCCGGGCGACTCACGACCCAGGATTTGATCCCGGACCGCTCGCGTGGTAAGCGTGCCACTTGCCACTACACCACTTCCGCCCCTAGAAATGATAGATAGTGACAGTAATTGATAAACGCCCATTGTATCAGGAAGAAAGTCAGTACTATTTCGACTGTGAAGAAACGAAGCACACATTTCAATGAGAAAACCGTTGAACACGAATACTACGAGGATTTGCAAACTAGTCTTATCGTTAAGGTGGTTTAACAAATTCATTCCGGCCCTTCTTTTTAGCTTTAGTTCTCTTTCTTATCAGATTCTTTTCAGGTTCCTCCTCCACGGACATCATCGGATAACCAACCCACGTGAAAATCCACAATATATTGAAATAATGCGAAAAAGCTTTTGATCTATTGACTACGTTTAAATTAAATTGAATAAAACTGCTTGTGATATTAGATATCTGTTCCATCCGTTGTCTCCCGTAACTATATGATTCGTGAATGAAATCTAGCAGCCCAGACGTGGCATCAGCCACTGACATCATCTACTCCCTTTCAAAAAACGAGAAGAGCGTCGGGCGCAGACCATACACCATAAGTTACGCAGAACG